TAAGACTAACAGTTTAAACCAAAGTAATTCTAATAGGAAAGTTTTTTGTTTTTTTGTTTTCCTGTTTTGTTTTTTAAGTACATTTGTTGGTGACAAAAATGCTAACCATATTTGCAGGAACTAGGGTGGTTACTGGTATGCCATAATTTAAGGAAATTTGACTGGAGAGAGGGAGTGCTATACTCTGGGCTGAGGGAAATAAGGCCTGGGGTTTGCTTTTCCTGCTAACTACTAATTCCTGCTGCTAATTTCTACTACCTCCTGGTTTGGCTTTTTCTGCTATATAGCTGTGTGTTCTTAAGCAAATGAGCTTTCCAGTGCTTCAGTTTTTTCACTCATGCAATTGGAGACAGATTTATATTATGTCTAACTCTCTTGTACAATATATGAAAATCCATATTCAACAAAATATTAAATGAGGACATATTTGTATTAAATCATTTTTATAAGAATATAAAGAATATAAAGGGACTATTTTACTTTTGGAGCTCCTAAGAGAGACATGCACATTATTTACATGTTATTACTTACTTGACTGCATCTAGAAAGTAGCACATAGGCATCCAATAAACGTTGAACAAATGACAAAAGATGAGCAAAGATCCCTCAAACACTTAAAAGCTACAATCAAAGAATTTTATGAAAAAATGGTAAAAGATAAATCATAATACTACATAATTCATCAAGAAAATATGATTTGATTTAGACAAGTTCCAAGAACATGTATGCTGGATAAACTCAGATTTGTCTTCTAGGCCCACTGAGAATTTCACTGGACTTAGTGATCAAACTTCTAAGCAAAAGAGAAATATGATCCATTATTTAGAATAAGTTATAAAGATTAAAGAACATAAAATGTAGAACTCCTGTATTAGCATATTAAAAAGGAATCATCAGGCTAATTATGTGGCTGCAGTTTCCCATGTAACATTATTCTGTTTTGTAAAAATAGTCATTAAAAAAGAGACACTGAAAGTTACCAGTCTGTATTAGGACCACCTAATTTCTTAGATTTGGCACATCTATAGATTGCTAATAGTATAGAGAATGTGTACATATTCCTTTCACTGGGTGGTTTGCTCTTTTGTCATTTCTTCCATCTCTTTCTCTAACCCTTTTTATCACTGTATGAGATTCCATGTGATCTCACTCCTGGGTGAGCCTACTCTCTGGTTTTAGCTGGTTGGATGGGTGTACATTTTTGACCCAAGGGCAGTTAGTTAAACACATGGTCCTCTATTTCTTAGAATCAAAATAACTTTACTTAAAATACTTCAGACTGTCTCCCCTGTGATGCCAGTTATTCTCTGTGGTCAACACAGCATGATATTTAGAAAATTCATGCTTTAAAGATTTTATTTATTTATTTGACAGAAAGAGAGAGACAGCGAGAGAGGGAACACAAGCAGGGGGAGTGGGAAAGGGAGAAGCAGGCTTCCCACTGAGCAGGGAGCCCAGTGTGGGGCTCAATCCCAGGACCCTGGAACCATGACCTGAGCTAAAGGCAGTCACTTAACCAACTGAGCCACCCAGGCGCCCTGAAAATTCATGCTTTAATTGTTCATAAGTAACTTTGAATTCTTTAGAAGAGAAAAATGTATCCATTCAGCACAGCTCTCCATGGACCACTCACATACCAAGCACGGTGAAGTTCGACTCACCCACTTTTAATCTGCCTGTGACCTCTCCTTCAGAGTTGCGTGCGTTGACAGTCACATTCTGAGTTGACTGCAGAAGCAGAGATGAGTCCTAGAAAAGCATTTATAAAATTTGACAAAAAAAAGCACATTATTTAAAATGACTATCTTTATATTCAGACATAAATTTAGGATTTACAGGAGATAATTTCTCCATAGTCACAGATTCTGTGACCCTATACATATTTTCAAATTGTGGACTATATTATGTTAAAAGAGTAAATAAATGTGCTTTTCCCCCAAAGTTTAAAACAACACATATTTATTATATCATAGTTTTTATGGGTTAGGAGTTCAGGCAGAATCTACCAGTGGTTCCCTGTTCAGCATCTCAAGGGGACTGCAGGGCTGAGGATTCATTCCAGGCACAGGGTCTTCTTTTAAGCTCATGTGGTTGGTGGCAAAATTCATTTCCTTGCTGCTGTAGATGTCCTAACTTTTTTTTCATAAATTATAATACTCTTATGGGTTTCTGCTGCTTGTGTGCACTGGCTGTTGGATTCAGGTGGGTTTATGGTCCATTCAGAGGGAACCAAGAATCTTCTGAAGCTACAGGGAATGATGTGATTTTTCAGAAGGAGAGAAGTTTCAGGAGTGCCTTGGAACTCTGGTATGTCCAAAATTCTCCAAATTGCTTTGTGGAAGCAGATGGATCTATCAGTATCTCACATTTTATCCAATGATGTGACCTTAATCCTTGTTTTAGCACTGTTCAAAAATAACTAGCATGACAATAAGAGTTAACAGTTTACCAATTTCTTCCCTCTAGTCTCGGTGTGCAGGGTGGTGAAGGGCGCACTCCGTGCAATCTCTGGGCTCTCTCAGTGGCGGCAGCCCCCTCCTCCATGGTACTCTGCTCTGTGAACTTCAGGTTGGCTGCTTTTCCTTGGACTCCCAACCATATCTTCTCAACTTGGGGAGAACGCCTGCCTCTGCACTGGTCCCCTCCCTCACTGTGGCCTTAGAAACTCCCCAGGCAGTAAACTGGAGCACTCCTAGGGCTCATCTCTTTTGTTCCCTTTCTCAGAGATAACTGTCCTGACTGCCACTGTCCAATATTTGAAAATCATCCTACTCCATTTTGGCACTATGACAAAATACCAGAGACTGGGTAGCTTATAAACAACAAAGATTTCTTTCTCACAGTTCTGGAGACTGGGAAGTCCAAGATCATGGTGCTGGCAGATTTGGTGTCCCACGAGACTCACTTTCTGGTTCACAGAAGGTGACTTCCAGCTCACATGGCAGAACGGAGAGATCTCTCAGGCTGCTCTGATAAGGGCACTAATCCCATCACGAGGGCTCCGTCCTCATGACCTCATCTCTCCAAAGCCCCACCTCCTAGTACCATCACCTTAGGGGTTAGGTTTCAACATGTTGAAAACCTATGAGGTGACCATAACAAAAACCATTGTTTCATATACTTTCTCAAGTTTTTTTAGTTGCTTAATAAAAGCGGGTAAATCTGTTCCCTATTACTTCTGTCTTGTTTTACCTGTTTTGATTTTATAGTTTCTTATTCTTTTAATAAAAGCCACTCAAAAATAGCTTTATCTCTGTGAGATTAAGTGTGCTTTTCCAGTCATTTTCAGAATGATTATTTTTACTTAGTTGGAAGTTAATTCTCTTTTTTATAGAGTTTATTTGGTATCCTTTATTTAGATGGAGTTTTCCTTATGTGGTTGCAAATTTCAGTCTCAAGCTCCCTGTGTGGATGTATTTTAATTTCTGGACTCAACCAGCCTGTCTAAAGGCTTTACCGTTGTTTTCATTCAGACTGCCATGTTTCTCCATCTTGTAATGGTGGCTCAGGGCTTGTGTCCTCAGTGGCATTCGGGTCTTGGTCTGGCATTTTTATGGGCTCCATCCCACAGATATACAGTTTTATTCAAGCCTGGGCAGTAGGTGCAACCCTTTTTTGCCTTTCACTGCTGTCTCATGCAGTAGGTCTGGCTGGAGTCCCAAGCAGTCTCATCAGGTGCCATTTTGGTCTCTATTCCTCTGTGGACATTGATGGTAAGCTGCCCCTGCTGCTTTCCAGGATTGTGAACTTCAAAGACAATCATTTCAAGTAAAGCTTTACCACTGTGTGTTTGGGCTTCATTTCATTTTTGACTATGTTTATATGTTTCTAAATGCAACCTTTTTGTTTTATCGAATATAATTGCTACGTGTTTAGGTCAATGGGCAGGGTGGATGGTTTTAAATCATGAGCTCCAGGCAAGATCTTGACAGGACTTGTGAAGAGTAATCACATGTTAGAAGCCAGAGTACCATGTTGAATTATATTTATAATAAATTCTCTCACCTCAGCAATATAGATAAATGAATATATGTCAAATTTTGCAAATTCATTTCTGTAGTTTTATGGAAAATTACTTCCTGGACTCATTTTTGAAAAGCAAATGTAACTAATATATCAGTGTATACAGAAAATATAAAACATAATTTTGTTCAGTTAATCCTATTATTGGAAAGCCATATTAGTTACCAGATACTTTCTATTTCTGTGATCACATAATATTATTCCAAATGTTTCTGTAATTTTATGTATCAATTGACATATTTCATCAATCCGTCATTGTAAGACTTTAAAAATGATTATCTAAAATAATTTACACAATTTTGCTGTTTTTTTAAAGTATACCAGAGATGAAAAACATCTGATAAGTATAACTAAAAGTATTATTAAATCCAGAATAGTAAATTTGTTATGAACCAATCACCTGGTTTCAGTCACCAGGTTATTCTACCAGTCTTATCTCTTCAAAAATATGATAGGGGATCAGCCAACATAACTCTGGGGGGAAAGATGGCTAAGTTCTAATATTTAAATTCTTTGCTCACATCTGACCTCCCCTTTTACAAAAGCTTAGGTTCATTCCCCATGTTCCCATATGACAGGGGTATTTGATACATTTAAATGCCATCAGGATTAATGTAAGCATATTATCTGAAGAAGCTCATAGAATCGAGCTTATGCATGTATCAGCCTGTCACATTCCAGGTCATTTGCCTGCTCCTACTCTCATCTGAGACATTCTCAGAAGTAATACAGTAGTGTCTAAGAGCTACTTATGTGCTTTGCACTTTCTAGAATCTCTCCTCCGCAGTCCATATTTGGTAGTAGAGCTTGGTGATTGCTCTGATGTCCGTGTAAGGGTGTGGTTTATCTCGAAGACCACATGTGTTCTCAGTGGTTAGACTTTGGTATTCTTCCCAATTGCCCTAGAGTAGCTGGAAGAGCCTCTACATGTAGGAGATACTGACATATCCTTTCATATGTAGAAATATGATAGGAAAATGAAGAGTGCACTCTTCATACAATTGGTAAGTTGTTGTTGGATGAAGTTTAACATTTTGTTGGGATAATGCCACCTAATCAATAATTTGCCAAATGTTTATCTTTACTACAAAGTCCATAGCATCACTGAAAACAAAATAGAACATATTACAAAAATGGACTATATTTTATGCTTGGCTCTACTTGTTATAAATTCTATGGAGGTAAATGAAGATAATATTGAAATAGATTTGTTTATAAAATCACACAATTATTTAATGGGAATGTTTAATCTACTTATGGAGAATCCTACAGGACCATAATCTCTAATTAGCATAATTAGTACAGAACATACTACTATGAAACTAATTTCTTTCTAAGCTTCTCAGATAATTTTAAATGCTTTGAAAAAGTATTCAAATTACCTGCACTAAAAAAGTTTAGATTATTTTTGATAAAGGTTTTAATTACCAAACCTTTTTTATTATGGTCTAAATTACTGAGGCCACCAAATTCAGATCTAAAGCACATGAAAATGGAATCCTTTTAGAATGTAATAGCAGAAATATGTCATCGGTCTCTTTGGAAAGACTGTTCCAAAAACAGTGGATAATTTTGTGGCCTTAGCCACGGGAGAGAAAGGATTTGGCTACAAAGACAGCAAATTCCATCGTGTGATCAAGGACTTCATGATCCAGGGTGGAGACTTTACCCGGGGAGATGGCACTGGAGGAAAGAGCATCTATGGTGAACGCTTCCCCGATGAGAACTTCAAGCTGAAACACTACAGGCCTGGCTGGGTGAGCATGGCCAATGCAGGCAAAGACACCAACGGCTCCCAGTTCTTTATCACGACCGTTAAGACAGCATGGCTGGATGGCAAGCACGTGGTGTTTGGCAAAGTTCTGGAAGGCATGGAGGTAGTACGGAAGGTGGAGAGCACCAAGACGGACAGTTGGGACAAGCCCCTGAAGGATGTGACGATCGCAGACTGTGGCAAGATCGAGGTGGAGAAGCCCTTTGCCATCGCCAAGGAGTAGGGCCCCAGGGATCTCTTTGCGCCACCATCTGTGCGGCCCTGGTGCCTTCCCGCGGGTGAAGACCGCCCGCCGCAGGGCTCCGTGCTACACTGGCCCCAGTGCTTTTCTAGCCAAGCTTTTTACAGAGTGTAACATCAATGTGTGTACATGTATACATTTAAGAACCTCTTCTGAAATATGTTAAATTTCTGTGCTTAATGATTATTTACTTTTCATAAAACACAAAATATTTAAATGTTTCATCATTTTCTTACCACTCTGGAGTGTATTTCCTTAGCATACAACGGGAATAAAAATTCTGATTCTCCTTCTAGGCGAAGACCATCTTTTGTAACACGCAAGTGACCCATTCCTGTCTGGTAAAAAGATGAGACAATAGAGATTTTGTTATAGCTTTCTTTTTCCTTTCTTTTAGGATCAACTAAGATTACAGATGCATTTTCATAAGTTTTCTATTGGCACTTTTCTGTATTTCTCTTAAATATTCTATTTCAAACTTTAGTTGTTTTTACTCAATTGTCAGTATTTCATTAACTCTTGTGTAATACAAAGGACTATTTAGGAACTACATATAAGATTTAAAGAGTCAATTTATAATAAACACCCAAGAAACCACCACGATGTAAGAAAAAGGTTCTTACCATGACTATTTAAAAACATTTTTAAAAATTAAGATGCAATAAAACAGACTGTTTTGAGGTGTCCAGTTCTATGAGTTTTAACAATGGTCCACAAGGTACAGAACAGTTCCATCTCTCCAACCCGCACCGTACCTTAAAGGCTTCAAGTGTATCTGGCAAGTTTACAATATAGCAACTGTTTATTGGCCAGTTCTTAAGTGAAAAGCAATATAGGAGGATGTAGAACTCTATTCAAGGTGTCTGTTCTCAAAGAATTTTCAGTCATGAAAAATGACTGGATGGAAGGATAGAAGACTTAATTCTGGAGATTACTAGTGACCAACATGCTGTTAAATCTTGTAGACATTTTAAAGCTTCATTTCCTTTGCTTTCTCAGCAGCATTCAGCACCGGACCTCTTTTTTTTTTGGAACACTATCCTAACTCAGTTTCCGGGATACCACGCTCTCCTAGCTTTTCTCCTTGGCCTCCATACACATTCATTGTCATCTACCCAGCCTTTGACTGCTGGCCTCAAGCTCAGTCAGGCCCTCTCCTGTGATCCCTCCCTGGCCCTTCCCTTGGCTTCCATTACCATCTCAGTGTGGAAATTCTCACCTGTTTTTATTTGCAGTTTACATTCTCTCTTCTGAGCTCCAGACCCATATATATATATATATATATATATATATATATGTGATTGTCTATCTTTCCTTCCTTTTTGAATGTCCTGGGAGCACCTAAATACAACAAATTGAATTCTGATTTTTCCTCTCTTCCCCCAGGATAGAGGTAGATTTAAGAAAGGGAGAGCAGAATGGTCAGGAAAATGAAACAAAAACATTAAGGACAACTTTTTCCAGTGACAGGTGATTTCCAGGCCAGAGATATGTTACTCTGAACTGATGTCATGGACTTCTCTTTTGAAGAACTCCCTGGTTGATAAGGCCCACTGACAAGAACCAGATTTAATCTGAATTACTATGCCCGGTTATCTGTCTGTGAACCACCATTATGGTCCTCTTCCCAAACTCGGGTGTGGGAGCAGTGGAGTTTGCCCTGTGCTTAATGGAAGTCCCTCAGTGCTGCTGGCTTGAGTCAACATCCACCACAGGCAGGGAAGCTCTCCTGAGTCTCTCTGACACGTGTGATTCAGTGTGTAGCTTGGTTTAAAGAAAGGGCTCAAAATCTAAAAGGTTGACAGCTACTGTTCTACAGTTTCTCATCTAACCATGCAACTGAAAGGCACAGTTTATGAAATTAAGCCAACATTAGCAATATTATGAACTCCATTATGTGTGGATAATAAACCAATTTTTAGCAAACAATTCCAACAAGAATTTTTTGTCCTAGAGTTAACCAAAGTGAAGTTTCAAGATTATATATTCAAATCTGAAAATCTGCTGCTAAATTTCTGGGTTCAGTGAAACACATGCCAGGAGTTTTTCTGGACTCTATTTTGCTATATTGGGGAAAAAAACACCAATAAAAAAGTAATGCTAATTCCAGTCTCTGAAGTACTAATCTACATAATTAGATTGCAAAAGCTTATTGTTCCTTGTCATTTGTCATTTCCTCCTCTGGCTATTTGTCTCCCTAAAAAATAAGGAAATTGACATGAGGTGACCCAAGCTTCCTTTCACCTGTAATAGTCTACAGTTTCAATAAAATGAATTACAAATCTCTACAAACAACCAATCACTCCTCAATGGCTTAAAACAAAAGAATACACCTATTTGTCTACTTTTTTTTTTTTTTTAGTCAGGTATGTTGAGGTATAATTCACAAATAATAAAATTTACCTTTTTTAGTGAACATTTTTGCAAGTTTTCACAAAGTACAAAACACAGTGAAGATATAGAAAAGTTCTAGAGACCATAAAACATGCCTCCCTGCAGTCACTCCCCACCCCCACACTCCCATTCCTTGGCAAACACTGCTTTCTGTACCAATAGTTTTGCCTCTTGACGAATGTCATATAAATGGAATCATACAGTATGTAGCCTTTTCAGACTGCCTTCTTTCACTAGAATAATGCATTTGACATTCATCCATGCTCTTGTGCATATCAGCAGTTTCTTTTTAGAGATGAGTAGTATTCCCCTGGATGAATATATCACAATTTGTTTATCCATCTATCAGTTGAAGGACTTTTAGGTTGTTTTGATGATTATAGAAAAGGGCTTCTGTGTGAACATAATTATCATTTCTGTTGAAAAAAAGCCTAGTAATGGGATTGCTGGGTTGTATGGTAGGTTTATGGTTAACCTTATAAGAAATAAACTGCCAAACTGTTTTCCAAGGTGGTTGTACCATTTTGCATTCCCATAAGCAATATATGAGTGTTCTGGTTGCACTGTATTCTTGTCAACACTTAGTATTGTCAGTATTTTTTCCCATTCTAATAGGTATATGATGGTATCATATTGTGGTTTTAATTTGTATTTTCCTAATGACTAATGATGACAAACGTTTTTCAATGTGCTTTTTGCTATCCACATCTCTTCTTTGGTAAAATACTTGTTTAATTTTTTTCTACTCACTGTTTCTTTCATTATTATTGATGGTTTAGGGTTCTTTATATATTCCGGATACAAATCTTGTAATTTGCAAATATTTTCACCCAGCATGTGTTTTTTTTTTTTTATAATTTCTTTAACTGTGTCTTTTGAAGAGCAAAAGTTTTTAATTTTCAAGAGTTTTTCAATTTTCTCTCTTGTAGTTATGCTTTTGATATTTTATATGACAGCTTTACCTAAACCAAGGACATATTTTCTCCTATGTTTTCTCCTAGAATTTTTATAGTTTTAGAATATACACTTAGGTCTATGACCAATTTTTAGTTAACTTTTATGTATGGTGTGAGTTATGGATAAAGATTATTTTGCATATGGTATCCAATTATTTCAGCACAATATGGTGAAAATTTCATCCACTTTCCACTGAATTAGTTTTGTGCTTTTATAAAAAATTAATTAGCCATGTGTGGTTGTATTTCTGGATTCTCTATTCTGTTCTATGGACCCATATGTCTATATTTACTACACTGTATTGATTACTCTAACTTTACAGTAAAGGCTTGAAATCACATAGTGTGAGTTTACTAATTTTATCTTCTTCAAAACTGTTTTATTTTTATATTTTTAAAAGATTTTATTTATTTATTTGACAGAGAGACACACAGTGAGAGAGGGAACACAAGCAGGGGGAGTGGAGAGGGAGAAGCAGGCTTCCCACTGAGCAGGGAGCCTGATGTGGGACTCGATCCCAGGACCCTGGGATCATGACCTAAGCCAAAGGCAGACGCTTAACAACTGAGCCATCCAGGCACCTGTCAAAACTGTTTTAAAAAGATTTTTATTATGATAAAATATACTTAACAAAATTTGCCATTTTAGCCATTTTTAATTGTATAGTTCAGTGGTATTAAGTACATTCATATTGTTGTGCAATCTCCACGGTCCATCTCCGTAACTTTTTCATCTTTTCCAACTGAAACTCTGTACCCATTAAACAACAACTCCCCATCTCCCACTCCCCCCAGCCCCTGGTACCCACTATTCTACTTCCTGACTCTATGAATCTGATTATTCTAAGTACCTCATTTGAGTGGAAGCATATACATTTGTCTTTTTTTTTTTTTTTAACTGTATTCTTGTTTCTTGGCTTTAAATATAAGTTTTAGAATCAGCTTGTCTATTCTACAAAAATTTCTTCTGGGATTTTGATTAGCAACGTGTTGAATATAAGTATCAGTCTGGGGAAGAACTGACATCTTAACAATATCTAATCTTCTAATGCCTAAACACTATTTCCCCATTTATTTAATTTTAAAGATTTCTTTCATCTTTATTTTGTAGTTCTCAGCATACAAATCTTATCCGTATTTTGCTAGGTTTTTACATAAATACTTCATGTCTCTTGGTACCATTACAAATGATATTATTTTTATTTCATATCAGCTTCCATTTAGTCAGTATTGTTCTGGTTTATGCTTTTTCCTTCTTTTATTTTCAAAATCCCTCAATTTTTTTCCTTTATGTCTCTTGTAAGCAGATTACAGATGATCTTTTTAAAAACACAACTTGAAAATGTCTATTAACAGTAGAATTTAATGTTCACAGTCAGTAAAATTACTGAAATATTTTGATGGACTTCTACTATCTTATTTTTCTCTAAGAAAATTTACACTGGTTATTGAGCACACTCTCCGATGACCTGACAATCATTTTGTCAGTAAAATGGCCTCTTGAGCTCTGACACCCATAGCAAAGCCCTATAAAAATATTGCTGTTTTAAGAATAAAAAAGATGTAAGATTCCATTAAGGCCAAGTGTTCTTGTTAAATAAAATGCCCCAGCTGGGTGAAGAGGGCATCTATGAAGGGGTGTGACCCAGTATTTGGTGTCAGGTCCCAGAAGGGTGAATAGTACCCCTCAGCACTGAAACCACCAGGAAGGGTGTCAAGCTCAAGTGGAA